AATGAGTTTTGAGTTTTATTAGTATTTCTTATAGGATCATGGGTGAGAATTTGTTTATAAGAACCTGAGTACCTTACCAGTGCCTACACCAGGAAAGAAAAGGTTTCTCCCTCTGCCAACAACCATTAACTGCCCCAGGGAGTGGGTGCAGCCTTGAGCCCCTCCCTCCATAAGAGGATCCAGATAGGCTCAATCTTTTGCAGGTCTTGCATAGATAATCACAGCTGCTATGCACTCAAGAATGCAATGACAGTTCCACAACACTGCACTCCTTCCTGACGCTTGCACTCTGTTCAGTTTTCCTACTCCAGAAATTCAAAACAAAATGCCATAATCCATGTCTACAGTTACATTATCACATTCAATACAAATTTTATATTAAAGGAAAGTATTTCCTTCTTTTCAATATCAATTCCCTTTGGAAACATTTTAAAATATCCCTTTCCTTCTAAAATGTCTTTGTGCCATTTTTCAAGCTCTGTAGAAAAGTCATTCATTGTGCATTAACATCTCATCTAACTCATGCAGAGGAGAAGCACTCTCCTCTGTGCGTTTCTTCCTCTGTACTTTTCCTTCCTGCCTGAAATGATTTTACCCGTTAGGTCTTATCTACTATCACAGTTCCACATACAGCATTCCCTTACCCATTCTGGAAATGTCTTCCACCTCTGCCACCAATCCTGCTGAACACCTGAATTTTACTGTTTCTACAAGTCATCTTTCTATTGCTTCTTCTTCTTTTTTGAAAATCAATAGGTCTTATCCTTCAATGGAACAATCTGTTACTATAACACACACTGATACCTCTGGACTGTGAGCTGCTAATACACGGATAAATAAGATGTAGTCTTTTATTCTTACAGGGTTTAGAGAGGGGGAGGCAGGTCTGAAAATGAAAGATAAGACATTGGAAGTGACATGTTCCTGTATTCACTGTCACCCCACCTTGAGGTGTGATGTGACATTTTTAAAGATGTTACCCCAGGCAATTTGGGTTAAGATCAGTTGAATCAACTCATATCACAAAGACACTCTGTGTTCTAATCAATTCTTCTACCTGTACAGTAGTGAAATGACCATGTTTTCCAGACACAGTACACTGAAATAATGACTGGGTTTTACACAGAAATTCAAGATAGTAGGAAGGTTTGAGACAGTGAGAATTTATCTATGACAAGCGGCCTGAGCTCTGGTGCCCTGACCAATGGCATGCAGGGTGTCTCGGCACCATCTTCATCCAGGATGAAATTTAGCAAAGCCATAGCACATAACCGCCTCTTAAAGGGAATCTATTGTCTGTGATTTGAATCATGGAAGTCACAATTAAGTGTATGCATCTGTATATTTAGTGAAAATTGTAAATCCTAAATTAGATTTAAATGTGGCCTCTTCTGCCGTGTATTTTCTGACTTTGTGCATAAGGTTCAAAAACTCTGAATCACAACATCAATGAGGCAGATGGTAGCAGCTGATCTCTAAGTTTAATGTGTCTAATATCCACGTCGAAAGAGTGACAACCTCATTCACATGGATGGCAAAATGAGACCTGAGTTTGTCACTGACAGCTATGAGCGCTATTAAAGTGCATAAACATTAATGTATTGGAATGTTTTCTATGAACTCCCTCAAGCACTGTGATAGCACAGCACTGATGAAAGTCCTGGGCAATACTCCAAGTGACAATTACATGACCAATCCTATTACGACTCCAAATCCTCTCTCAAGCATTGCGCTTTCTGATGCATAAGTAGCAAGAGTTCATCCAAGAATGCTTTGGCCACTTTGGGAAGGATCAGCACTCCATTTCCAACCAAGTGATGCATACTTTCAGTCCTATCAACTATAGGGAGTCAGTTTGTCACATTTACCCCATCATCCACAAAGTCAAACAAAATACTAAGCCTACCTTCACCGCTGCCTGACTTTCAAATGGTAATTCTAAAACCATTTGCATAGCAAAATTCGAATGAACTATCCCAAAATAAATGTGATTTTAATTCTCCCTTCTAAAAGAAATACTATATAAGTAGCTATGCTAAGAACTGTCTGTTTAATGGGATGTTTCCCATCAATGCCAAAATTTCTCTCTGCAGTTAAATTTTTAACATTCTGTCTTCATGCAATTGATATTCATTACACATAAATGGGTTGGCATAATTCCTGTTTAGATTAACATATTTTCATGACATTATCCAATCCATTTATTTCACATGGCTCTCATGAGACTTTGACTCACCCTCAAGGTATTTTGTAGCAAAGTATACAACTTTTGTCTTGAAGCCTCAAATTGCAGGTGGGTGGAGTTCACAACATTCCCAATCCTAGCTGAGAAGCTATTGACAACTAAGAAAGGGAAAGTGAATTGTCTTTTTTTTTTTTTTTTTTCCAGATGGTGGTAATCAGGCAAAGAAAAACCTAACTCTTATGCACTAGACATCCATAATGGATCTCTAAGGTTCAGGTTAGAAAAAGTTGTCCAGGTGTCCATGGATGGCCCCAAATATTTATGCATGTGGGCCACACTCATCAGAACCAGTTGGCCAGGGGAGAAGGAAGAGGAGACATGAAGGTGAGATGAAGGTTGGGAGATAAGTTATGGGCAGTCCAAGGGGAGAGAGAGAGAAAGAGTGTGTGGTGCATATAATTAAGATAGATAGATAGATAGATAGATAGATAGATAGATAGATAGATAGATAGACAGACAGATAGATGGATGGATGAAACTGGCTGTCAAAGAATAAACAAAATATTTAAAAAAAAACACTAAGGTCTAGAAATAAACTTCCAAGGTTAATGTTTAGAATTTGGCATCCCTTAGTCAACTGATGCCCTTCCCCAAAAGAATTTTTTGTTCTATAGTATATCTCTGTGGTTCTCCTCATTCCGATGCATAAAAATTCCTTCCTGGTGCAAAGATGTATATCACTAAAACAACTTTCAGAATTATTAGGCCCAAAATCAAGTTCCCTTGAATGAGCTCACTCAGGGCCACTTACTCAGCTGGGCCTCTTTTCAGTCAGGTGCCTATTTTAAGAAACCTGTATTTGTGATGCTGTATCACTTTACAGGTCCTGTGAAGAAACTTGGGAATCTTATCATTAAGAAGTCCAGATGCATAAGACGTTAAAGAGAAGGAATAAGGAGTAATGTGCAGAAGCCAAGCATTGCTTACTGTGCACTGGCCGTACGAGCTCTCTTTAAACACAGGAAGAAGAACCTAGAGAGGCCCTCTATCAGTCTCTTGGAATAACTTCTCCATGACTAGGCTATGGCAGGAATGTGCCAGATTGGGGATATTACTAATTTGAAGCATTTGAGGGTTTTTTTGTTTGTTTGTTTGTTTGTTTCTTTTTAAATATCCATCTATTTTGCCAGTGATTTTTCTAGCTTTTCAGAAAAGAAGCACAAACCACACTTCTCTTTTTATTTGGTACTGCTATTCTTCCTTAATGCAGAATTCAATTCCACAGACACTTTCTCCTAAAAGCCTTAGTGAAGCCTAAAGGACCAGACCAGCTGGACCCAGTGGGGCGTCACAGTTTGTGCTTCAGCTGTAATTTGAATTCTAATGACCTGAACCTTACAGCGCCACTCTGGGTGTCTAGTATATAAGAGTTAGGTTTTTCTTCACCTGATTACCACAGTCCGAACCTGGGATTTTGGTTTATAGAACATGGTGTTTCAGGTTTGAGGGTTTGAAATCCTCGGACCCTGCAGAGCCTCAGAAATAAAGGGAATAGTTCCTCACTGATAACTTCAACTTCCACCTCCCAAGTTTCACACCGTATTCAACTATGTCTCAGTTACATTAACACATTAAAAAGGAACAGGGCACCAACCCAGCTGTAGACCAAAGACAAAGGCGGAGAGGCATATAGTATACACTAACAGGCAGAGTGGAAGAGGTGGAGAGATAAAGAGAGAGAGTAAGGGGCAGAGACTGTGATCAACATAAATCCTAAATTTTCTCAGTTTTGAATGGCTAAAAACATTCGGATGAAATATTTTACTGTTCCATCCTTTTCTCCTATATATGTGTATATATGTATTTATTTTCTATGCATTATAATATTACTTTAGTTTTTAAAATGTGTTTATCCTTTGAAAATTTCAAGTATATACAAAAGATCATGACCATGTCCTTCTCCACCTAGGCCCTCTCTCCTACCACATCTCCCTCCCAATTTTCTGTGTAATCCACTGAGGCCAATTAGTAATTAGTGTTGCACATAGATGTGGGGCTCTCCGTGGTGTCTTGCCCAGCCTACCAGGGACCACAACCCCAAAGAAAGCACTCTTCCTTCCCCAGCACCCATCAGCTGCCAATTCATTGTACTCACTTTTCAAAATTTGCTCTCCCTGAGTCTTGGTCCCACATCTTCTCATACCTGAAGTTACAACAGCCTTATTCTTACTTGTCTCATGCAGTAAAGGTCCCAGAACCTTCCTAGCTACCTCACCACTATCACACTCCTTTCTCTCAAACTACAAGACCAGCAGTCCTGTTGTGTCAACAGGCTGTTTCCTTGTCATTTTTCCTATCACATTTGAAAGGCTCTGGATAGAAAGTATTAAACTCTAATCATTGGTAGCTCATGAAGCTAAGTGCATCCTTAGAAGAAACCTTTCTTTATTTAAGAATTTTATTTCCCTCAGTACTTCTACTCAAGGCCAGGGAGGTCCTTACTGGCAGAGTACTTGCCTACCATGTACAAAGCTCTGGTTTTGATCCTCAGAACGCAGTGTAAAAGTCAAAGTTAGAGATTAAATGAAATGGCCATCTGTCCCTGCCCTTGTGCTCTTAAACAGCTAGGTCTGTAGTCTCGTATTTATAGCAAGCTCCTCTCTGGTCCAACTCCCAGGGTCACCATCAGGGTTAACACGGAACAAGAAGGAGGCACAATGCACATATGCAGGTGATATGCAAGCAAAACGGAACAGGTAGAAGAACACTGCTGGAAACTTCCTCCCAGGCTGACGGAAACGGGGCATGTCCTCACCTCGGGATTCATGGAACTCCAGTGTGACGTGAGCATCAAATCCAAGGCTGAAGTAATTATTGAAGACATTCAGAGGAAGCTGCAAGAACGGGCACGGGTGAAGGTGACATTGTTCACAGCCAACTAGAAGACACCAACCCAGGCCCAACACCACACCCTGTCTCTGGGGCAGCCTGTGGGACACAGACCAGTCGCACCTCTCCATAGAGGGTGTTTGTGGACAAGGCACAGGGGCTCTCCACTTAACTCATTAGTGAAAGCTCAAATCCAGAAATCTCACAAACCGTATGTCATACAGGAAATGAGGAACACAACTACAAATTGCTAAGAGCCATTCTCATTCATGGGGCAATAACTTTGTTAAGCTTAGCGGTGCTCATTTGTAACAGATAGAAAAAGAGATTGATTCCACAAATTTGGAAAATAAACTCAATTGCTAGATCTAGTATAATTTCCATAATCAGGTGTGCTTTGTTCAAGAGCTTTATATACAACACATAAACAGTACAGCCTAAAATAAACAATTTACATTTAATCTATTTCTAAAGTTTTTTGTTTTGCTTTCATAAACATCATATAAGAAATAAAGCAGTGATAGACATTTGATTCAGCCATTGCTGATAAAAAAGGAAACAGCAATAAAAATATGAAAAAATATAAAGACATATAGTTCAGATTCCCACTTAATTGGATAAACCTGTAGCTTTAATATAACAACATAAAAACCAGAGAGAACACACATAAGCTCTAACTTTCTCCTTTCTTTTTGAGTCCCCGACTTTTCTTGTAAGCCAGCAGGAAGGAATTCTGGGAAACTTGAGAACCTAGATTGAAACTGCAAACATGATATCATCTAAAAGCTTCAGTTCAGTATCAGAACAACCAGAAAAGCACGTAGAAAGTGCAAGAAAGGAAAAAATGATTGCCCCACATTTCTCATGGCTCAGAATGCAAGGTAAATGCTACATTAAAAGAGGCAATGTTCCTAGATACTTGTCGGGTTTCTGTCCCTAACTGAGTTGTACTCTTGTTATTAGAAATACATGTTGAAACGTTCAAAATCTCAAAAGTCATTTACTAGAGTGTGTCATATACTTCTTGATAGTCAGGGAGATTTCCTGTTAAGCGGAAGGGAGAACATTGTCTCATTAAAAGAGATCACACATGTGGACTGCCTTGATTTCTATCTCTGGTGGAAAGACAGGAGGAGCTCACACTGAAGCCCCTCAGACCTAGCCACGATGGTTCAGAGTCTGCATCAGCTCTTAGAAACAGTTTCAACAAGCTACAGAGCAGAGACAAACTCAAGCTACACAGCAATGCCAAAACCATGTCTAACTCTCTTGGCTTCATATTTGAGAATATCCAGTCCTAGCATTAAATAAAACCCCAGCCCCTGTAAGGACAGCACGGTGATCGTGCCAAAAGCACAGCAACATTCTACCATTTATATTACTTTGGCTACAATTCTAACCCATGTCTTAGCAGCCATTGATAGCTAAAGAAAACATCTGGTCACAATTCCCTACGTAATATTCAATTTAGACTGTTTTTTAGGTATTCACATTTTTCCAGGAAAATGTGCCCCAATTTTCTACATATCCCCAAACTCCATTCCCAAAGGCCTTTAATTATCTGAATTGACGTTCTCTGGCTGCATCAAGAAGTCTTTCTGTTTCTCAAGCTTTTGGGAAGAAAGTTAGATTGTAGGGCTAACCAGTCCACATTTAGAAGAATGGTCTGAAATTTTCCATGTCAGTAGAAGGGCCCCCTCCTTCTAATTTGGTGGTTTTCTATCCAATCTCAATAAATCGAACGAACACCTAAAAGTTTCCCATAGGTTTATGTTTAAACAATATTCTATTGTGAACTTAACTTCAAATGAGCAATCCTGATGTCTAGTAGATTTACTGATCTCAGGATTAGTTTAGGTGGACAAAAAATGGATATGAGGAGAGATGTTTAAGCCAAAGAAGACACCTGAGTGTCTAGCATAATTGCTCAAGATTGTGATGAGCTACAAACTTGGGTTTCGTGGATGGATTCAAACTAGCAAAAATGTTATTTGAAGCGCAGGTGTGGGGTTCTTATCCCCACATTAAATTACTCAGAATCTCTGGATCAACACTCGTAATCTTCATTCTAACAAGCAGCCTGAGAGATTCTTAAGCCTACAGAACTATGGGCACACTATCACGAAAGACAGGCGAGAAGTTACATGGAGGGAATGTCTACTCATGTGCACTTCATGACATAACAAGTTATTCAGAGATTAAGGTCAGAACTCAGGCTCAGGTGTTGAAGGGAGGTGGCGTGGTAGTTTATTTACAACTATGGCCTTGGTTTGGGTTGGGTCGTTTTTATCGTAAAAGGTCAGTCACAAGAAGAAAACATGTTTAAGCCATTCCAAGTCCCAAGCATATGAGGCAATTGGCTTAGATAATACCTGTTATACTAAAAGGGATATCTGATATCAGGCCAGCAATTGCTAAGGTTTTCCTCACACTGAAAGGCTGTGTACCTAATGCTTAGGAGCATATACAAACTCCATCTTCTCATAAGCTGTTTGCATCTGGCTCAAGAGATTAAGAGATGTTTACATGCTTTCCCAGTGTGGAGCTAAAGACAGAGAACAGGTCCCACAGCCCTGGAACAAGTGTCTGAGCTCTGAAGGGTCTGTGGGTAGGGAACAGGGAGGGAGTTGCTGACAGTATATTCAACCTTAGGAGCGAGAATCCCAGAGTGATCCTGTTATGTTTCAGAAGTCAGAGGCCTGAGAGTAATTCCCTGGAGTGTGTGTCCTGTCACTCAGGCAGATGCCTGGTGCTCCATCAGGAGAAAAAGAATAGCCCCTTGAATTTATTTCTATCTGTATTTGTATGCATGTATGTGTGTGTACACATACATGCGAGTGTCTACAGAGGTCAGAAAGGGTTCCAGATCCTCCAGACAACTGTGTGCCATCCAACATGAGTGCTGGGCACTGAACTCTAGTCTTCTGCAGGGGCAGTGAGCACTCTTAACAGCCGAGCCACCTCTCTGGCCCCCAAAACCTGTCTAACCTTACACACGCCATCTTCAAGCTCTTCGGGTGGCAAGTCTGGGTTTCTCTCCACATGGAGGTTCCAGCGATCCAACTGTACAATGGTCCCATCTTCCACCTGACACAGGATCTTAGAAACAGGCTCATCAGTGTAGCCCTAAGGATAGAATCAGAGCACAGACCGTTGGTGTCTGCATCAGAGAGCCATGCAGTGGGTACCATAACAAGGTAAGGCGGAGTGGGCCAACGTTCTGCTGCTGGAAGAGTGAGCTATTTTCCCCTCCTCATACTTTAAAGCTAACGCTAATGCTGCTAAGAAGGCACACACACAAAAGCACTAGTTTTGCCTGACCTGAAGTGAGGCAGGCATCAGGAACCAGTGAGGGACAGCTGTGGTGGGTGGAGTGAACAGCAAAATCCCAATGTCTCTTGCTGGAGGAATTGGGGACACACACAAGTATGGGGAAGGGGGAAAGGGGAGAAGCCTAAAGGAAGCCTGAACATTCTATGTCATTCACCAATCGCTGGCCTTGTGTCAGTGATGCCACCCATCTGTGGCCTGAGGCAAGTCAGCCTGAGAAGCCGGGCTGAGGAGAGCAGCCCTCCCCTTGAGGGCTAACAGCATGATTGTTCAAGGTGCTCACACTCTGCATTCAGGTAGTTTGTGTATTTTTATACCAGCCGCTTAAAAAGAAAAAATAAGGTAATGCAAAATATAACAACAACAACAAAACCCTCTGTAGGTTAATTCAGTTGAAGGTCAGATCAGTGTCTGCTATGGATCCAACATATGAAATGAATATGAATATCACTGTCATATGAAATGGATGCCAGGAAACAAACAGCCTAATAAGAGGGGCATAGCAAGTTGGCAATGGACAGGTTAGTATCTTTTTAGAATATTTGAATTTATTTTGCCCACAATTTCATACATGTATATAATGTATTCTGACCATATTCACCCTATTATCCTGTGTTATCCCGTTTCACTCCCTCTAACCCCTTTCTCCTTCCAACAAGTCCCTTCCAGTTTCCATATCTTTTTTAATGGTTTGTTGAAGTTCATTAGTATTTCTTGGGTGAGCACGGATGTGAGGTTATTAGCTAGAGCCTGAGCTATTTACCAGGGACTGCCGATACCAGTGAAGAAAAAAAAAATTGCTTCCCACAGCTTTTAATGTCAATAGCCCCTGGTTTTGGCATGTTAGTATCCAGTGGAGTCTTATATCTTAGTAGAGCAAGATAAATATATGAATAAAATGGCCACTTAGCGGCATGGGGGCTCCCCTCATCCAGCCAGAGGATGGTCCACAATGGGAGGGGCGATAAGGTCACAAGTAACAATGATCAGAAACTCTCCATGTTCAAAAAAAAGTAAAGGCTGTCTCAAAGGGGTAGGTCTTAAATGGAAACCAGATCTGCAGTTATGGCCGGGGCTGAGGGTCAGGATGAACGCGAACTTGGAAGACTGAGGTTTCCACTGTGTCCTGGATACTTCCCCTCAATCTATCTGTGTACGAACCATATGTTTTTCTCAGACTCAATCCCTGGCTGATTCTAAGTCTAAACTGAAGAAGCGACAAATAAGCAGGAAATTTAAGCCCCACGTCTAACTGTTCCCTGTGACAGCAACAGCTTACTGCTTCTAGCAGAGAGCCCGGTGTGTGTGTGTGTGTTCCTTCGTGGTAAGGGCAGCCGCCTCCAGTTCTTACCCCTCCCCAGTTGAGCGTCCGGGCCAGGTCATTCCCAGTCCCCAGTGGAAGCACCCCGACAGGAGGCTGTGGGCTCAGCTGCAGCTCATCCAGGATGGAGAGGATCCAGCCCACCTATAGACACATTGGGGACCAGAAGAGAGAAAAGAAAGACAATAAGTCACCAAGAAGGAAACTGACAAGAGGAGGAGACTGGAAAAGTCAGAGTATTCAAAACACATGTTTAAATCCCTGAGACAGCAACAGGAAGCCTACTACTTAGTTCAAATGGTTTCAAAATGGCCAACCCCTTAACAGGAAAAAGACCACTTTATGCATGTTCTATTATATAGGCAAATTGGGACCTACAGATGGTTATCTAGACATGCACTTTAAAATTTAGGGGAATTTAAGGTTATTTAGGGGGGTAATATAAAAACATATCAGAGAGAATATAAAACTCAGAATCAGATTAAATTCCACTGCGCTCATACAGGCTGCAGAACCTTGATTAAAATGCGTAATTTTGCAGACACTCATTTATCACAGACACAATGTGATAGTGATGCCCAGCTCACAGAGCTGTTTACAGCTTTAGCCATAATGCATACAAACACTGTGACTGGTCTACCACCCATAACGGCGGCCATTAGGTGAGCACCCTCCACAGCCTCAATTTGTAAATTCCTAATGTTTTCCTAAAATCTAGTTAATGATTCACTATAAAACACGATTACACATGGACTCAGCATCTAATATAAATTTAGGTAGAAAATATATACTTGCACACTAGGATCACATGCCCACTTAATCTTTGTTCTAGGAGAAATAATGCTTTGAATATAGTCATATTCCAATTTAAACAAACAGCTCCTAACCTAAGAATAGCAAAAAGAACCTTAGGTCACACAGACCTACAGTTTTCCCTAGGAATTCTCAGTTATGGCTTATATAATAGAACAACTACAAATGACAAATGTCAAGAAGAGATTATCTTAAAGGTAATTCCCTTTAAGATAATAACTAAGGCTTCAGTTCCTTATCACATATCAACCAATTTTACCTCAAATTTAGAAAAGAAAATCTTGCTATAAACTATGTAATTCTTAGCCTATTGTTCTCTGACAGATGAGTGAACTTTATCATCTTACTGGTTCATTCATAAGCACAACAAAATAGTGGCACATTTTTATTCTAATCTTGTATGAGTGTCGTGAAGCTTTTAAAACAGCACGTTATCACTGCACTTAATGAACACTAGCAACTACTCTGTACAACATAGCAGAGCAACTAAAATAGCAAGATTAATGAGTAGAGCTATGCTGGCTAAAACAAAATGGCTACCCTTAGAGTTCACATCATAGAAGATAGTATACTGATTACAATCTCCATGGTATCCCAGAGCAAAATCCTTTAACAAATCATGTCATAAAACTTCAAAAATGTCAAGAGGAAGCCATTAGTATATGTTAACATAAAAAGACCCTATAAGATGGTTTAGTTTAGCTTCTGCTTTATAAGAGTTAAATGGTGTCTAGGTGTCATTAGTGCCACGTCATTTATTCATTAGAACTGTCATTCATAATTAGACAAAACTAACATCAGTGAGACCAGTCTTTTCACTACTACAAAGAAGTAATTTCCATAAAGAGACGAGCGTAACAGGGCCTGCCAGCAATGTCTACAATCCCAAACTTCTCAGGAAGCTGAGGGAGGAGGATTGCAAGGGAGGATAACCTTTGCTATATGTCAGACCCTATCTCAGGAAAAAATAAAATTAGGAGGTGTCTGGGATGTAAGCCAATGGGAAATTGCTTGCTAGACATGCCCAAAGCCGTAAGTTCAATTCTTAGCACCATAAAACTACTAAATGAATTGATAAGACCAAACTCAGTACTGGAAATGGCCTGACTATCTTGGAGGCCAAAATATGTGATTTTGACATCTCTGGTGCTAGAGAAAGCTCAGAAATTCACTAAGTGTGATAGACTAAATTGCAGATCTTTCTAAATGCCAAAAGCCAGTCGTGGAGCATCCTTAGATTGTGGCCTGTGGCCTTTCGATTGTGATCTTTAGCTTTTCTTGCGCACACAGTACCAGTCAAGTGTTTTCACAGCTGTGCTGGACTTTGTCTCACTGCTACTGAAAGCACAGCCAAACACAGCGAGAGCTGAATGTACAAGAAACATGTAGGAAGCATTTGGAAGGTCAGCAAAAAGGGCGCAAGCACTCAGAATACTCTCAGCAGATGCAAACAGCACTAGAAAAACTGGGTCTGCAGATATGCAATGGAACTCAGAATCAAACGCAACAACCCATCCAGAGAAGAGAAGCTATCCCCATAACTCTTCGGAGAGATGGTCACTCACCCTCCTCTTTCTCTTCTCTAGATTTACGTGAAAAAAGCTGGCCATTGTCTCTCTTGGGAAGATAGTTTACTCTTACAACATCTGATTTTACTCTAAACACAGTAATGACAGAGGAACGAGGTGAGAAAGACATATCTTCTTGGCCCACTGACAAAACACAAAATGTCAAGGTGAGGTAAGGCTTGGAGCAGCCTGCCTCTAGGTCTCACAAGGAGTGGAGAAATCCAGTTGACCTTCTGTCTAATAATGAGGAATGAAACCATGCCCCCTGCTGTACTGTACAGAGTCTGTACTGGTACCACTGCTCTCTAGGCAGAGGAAAGGATGATAGGGACCAAGTGCAGAAGAACACTGCCTGAGGCCATGGCCACCTGGACTGTGAATCACTATGTTTGGAAGAAAGTGAGACAGCCTCTGTCTGCTAAACAGTTAAGCCAGTCTCCCACTAACCCAGGGATGTCTTTCTAGCATGAGAGGCTTCACCACCTACAGCAAACATAGTTTTAGTCTGAGAACTCTTAAAATACTCTGTAAGGAAATGGAACAGACATAGAAAGAGAAAATCAAACAACCGCCTCTGAACATGAGCCTACAAAGAAAATGTCTAAGTCACTTGAAGGCTCACTCAGAAAGGAATGGAAAAGCAAGAGGATTACCACAAAGAAATGTGTCCAGTGACTTCTTGCGATGAGTTTAACAGCTGCCAATCAACCCTTCTTAGGCTCGGCTGCTATCTGCTTTCTCAAAAGAAGCTCCCAAGAGCTCAGCTTGATCTGTGCTCGGCTCCTCACAGAGCCTTGGGAGCTTGTGGATTTCATACTGTCATCTCCACGGACAAAACAGAATTCTTCAGACTTGCACACAAAGATGTTTTTTTTACTTTACAAACTGAATGTGTGTCTATTAGTCATGTGCATGTACTGCGTGGATATGTATGTCCACACGCACGTGTGTCTGTCTGTATGCATGCATTTATTTCAATCTCATTATTTCCTTGATCAAATAGTTTTCCCTGACTACAAGCAGGCCATCTTGTATTCATTTTTTTTGTCACCATCAAATGTCATCATATGACTTTTAAAAGACTTTTATTATCTTGATATTCTCATAATGCCTTCTGTTTCACAGGGAATCATTTGGCTGAGGTAAATCAGTGACTCTTCTTGGAGCAGTCTCAAAAAAATTTTTTTCCCTGAGAGTAGTGACATTACTACTCAACTTCCAGCTGCCCAGAGGCAGCCCCGTGGTGGGGCAGGAGGCACAAGACCCAGAAGGAGACACTGGCACTGGAACCAAGCTCCAGTGTGTACTGGAGGGGATAAGTCACTTAGCACACTCCTTGTCTGTAAAATGGAGAGCAACTGTGCCTGAACGTTAGTCATTTTCTCAGTTGACCATGTGGAGCACATGCCTGACAAATAAGAAATGCAAACTAACGTTAGCTGCTGCACCCAGTTCTATTTTTCTTCCTGTCCTCTTACTTCATCCACGAAGGTCATTTCCTAAAAGCAAAATGCCCTCTTCCCACTGGCCTGCTTGAAGAAAGCTGAGCCTTCAACTTGAAAGTCATCCTCACCCTTGCCAAGAAGTCTGTCTTTTATAAACCATAAATAATACCAGAAGCCAGGCTTTCTTACAATAGAAAGAGGCCGTCAAAAAGAGATGGACACAAGTATGCTGCAGTAGCAGGAGAAATGGAGGATCATGGGTAACACTCTCTGCGTTTGTCCTTATGAAAGCAAAACAAAACTATGTAAAAGATCTTCAGGCCCCAAAGCTGTATGTGGGGCTCTGCCTCCCAGGTTGTAACCAGAAACCTAATCTTACCGTAATCCCAGATTTCAAACTACAGAATCTCAACTAGGTTCTGTTTCCTCGGGCTTTAATGTTACCCCAAATTATCTGTGCCAGCCCACTAGCACCCTTCCAACTAGTTCCCCTCGCCAGTGAAGAAAATTATCCTGACTTAGCCAAAGCATTTCCAGCTTGCAGCTCTGCCCTTCCTTCAGTAGGAGCAGCAGGAGTGACAGATTGAGAACACTGGGTCCTTCTGCCTGCCTCTTGCCTGAGCAGGCACAGCACTGCAGCAGCAGCTGGCCAATGCTGCCACCGCCTGCCGGTTTGTTAAGCTCTAACTGTCACAGAAGGACACCAAGTAGTGTTTGCCTTCCATGGTGCACTGACACTAGATAGGACTGGGGGTATAGATGACAGTGAGCTGACATTTCCTCTAATAGAGCAGTTGTTCACTGACTGCCTTGTGTGCATCAGAAAAGGATGAAGGACACAGTATAGAATGACAGCCACATTCTTCCACTCTCAAAGAAAAGCAAGGCACAACACTGAACTCTGACAGGCACAGCCACCCCTAGCCCTCAAGGGTTTTAAAAGCTGTGAACTAAAGTTTTCAAGCAAACATCTGTGTCTATACTACAAGTGCATACTTTCTTCCTGTCATTGTTTCCTTAAAATGCAACTATTTACATATTATTTACATAGCATAGGGGTTATGCATAGTCTAGAGATGATTTGAGGTATGTACAAAATTCATGTAGGTTCCACACAAATGTTACATTATTTATGTAAAGGATTGTACATCAGCCAAGCTGGTGTCTATAAGGGTTCCTAAAACAAGTCAGATGCCAAGGAAGAACGAAACTATCATTTTTCTTTTAATGTTTTATATGCTCAATTCTTAATTTATGAACCTCATAGCTTATCACAAAATCTGAAGAAATGTGACCAGAAAAAATAAAGACAAAATAA